CAGAGATGAATGTCTCGAGTGGACCCCTGCAGTAACTTTTGACTTGTGAGCAAAGAGGAGAGAGGAGAAAAAAAAAAAAGCAAGGGGGAAGCTGATGAAGCAACGAAGCAACAGCAAAGAGAAAGAAGAAGCAGAGGAGGGCTTTCACGGCTGGAGGGTCGCAGATTGTGTGTCGACTACAGTTGACCTGCTGCAGATAAAGGGGACGAAAGAGGAGGAGAAGGGCGGAATTACTGGTGAATTTACAATGTGAGAGGAGAAACAATCCCAGGATGGCGAGGTTAAATCAACCCCGGGGCTTATTACACCGTTTAGGCCTCTATTAACACCAAAACGCTGAATCCCTCGTTCGCAGGACATTCTTGTGACTTTGAGAGAAGAGAGCTGAACAGGCAAGAAAACATCCAAGATGATGCGGAGAAAGATGGAAGGGGCGGGGAGGGAGTATAGCATTTATGCCAGATTCCCAATTCCATTAGCCGCTCGGTGCCACAGAAGCTACCAGATGTTAAATAAAAGATGATGTTTTGTGTTGCACAAGGCCCCGGAGCTTTGGAAGTCACGCATTATTTCTAAATGTATATCCTTGTGCATTCATGAATATACACATCTGGCAAAATGTATTGTTTACATAATTCAATAGCAGGTGGAAAATGGTTGCATTTAAGTCTTCCACGCGACGTAACCTCGCCTCAGTCGAACCAAGACCCCGTGGGCAATCGCTGCTAAGCTGCACGGCAATGGATTACATTAAATGGGATGACAATAACTACAAGCAAATTGCTGTATCTAATCTGTGAACACAGTGTAGACAAAAAGGAAGTGATTTGTGAATTAGTGAAACGTGCAGGCACCCACATCTTCGTGTAAAAGGGGAAAAAAAAAAAATGTAAATTTTGGCAATTCTGTAATTTAAAAATTAAAATATTACATGTTTTTAAAAATGAATCATTGGTTCAGCTGCATCTTGTTGACTCAGCTGATTGAAAGGAATAAAATATTCAGCATTTTACTCTGATTGTGTGTCCCAGTGATTGCCCCACTATGATTTTAAAATCAACAGAATGTTTTTTTTTTTTTTTTTTAATTAAATGAAAAAAAATAAAAATAAAAGCATTTCAAATGTTGAGAGCTCACCCACTGAAAATGTTGTCGGAGAAGTTTACACCACAGGATTCAAATACACCCACTGTTGCCAAAATAAATCAGTTTGGTTTGATATCGGAAAAGCAGCATTTTTATATTACCAAAACAGCGTATGTGCTAACTATATAGCTGCGTCCTACGGAACACAGTAATTAAGCGAAATGATAGCTGTGTGCAGCGATGACTGATTTTGGTTCCAAGCTGAATTCAGGTAAGCATAATTAGCGCTCCCAAAGCAGCACACATTTAATTGTAAAGTGTCTCGTGTAGTGTTAATACCTAACAGATGCCAAAACAGCAAGGAGAGCTTAGGGATGATGTCTTTCAATTAGGATTTCGCCCCAGAGTCCAGTCAATTATCTGCAGAGGTCTGCTGTGCTTTGCTTCCCAGAAATTGGCTACATTTTATAAACTAAAAGAAAAAGTAAACACAAAGCTGCTTTCAGTGACTCACATGTTAATTTCACCTTCTGAACCCCAGGCAAGTTTCTAAACGCTTATTTGCTTCTTTCACATTTTTCTTTTCTGTGGGCTCATTTTTCACTAGAATATAAAATCCTGCACCTCTATGGCAACAGCACGGCCATGACAAGAGGTACAGAGAACTCTAAAACGCAATATGGCAAAGTTAGAAAGAAAGGAAAAATAAAGTTGAATCGCTTTGATTTTTACAATATGCAATGTATATACACAGCCTGCAGTTCAGCCCAGGTCAGATGAAAAATCCCCACGTTGGTGTTTGTTTCAGCGACGGTTTTGCAGTTTCAACAAGGAGCACAGATTTTTTATTTTTTTTTACAGAATCTAGAACAGATGATTAGTTTTTGGCTGATTTTTAAATGAGACAAGTTGGATAAAGTAATTTTGATGAAATAGTGCAAATTTAAGCTTAGATTTGGTTCAGTTTTTTTGATGGAAGTCATCGATGAGTACTTCAAGGACTCTCAGAAAGTTTAAATTCAGTTTTTTGGGGGGTTTTTCCAGTTTTTGACTCGTTTGTTTGTTTTTTAAATAACATGCCTTTCAAATCCATGGGCAATTTTGGGGGTGCAGAGGGTCACGTAACAAAAACACAAGAGGAAATACTGGAAATTGCTGAACAAATTTCTCTTTATTTTGGCAAATAAAAGGCGCAGAATTGAACTGGTTTAATCATAGGGTTCAGTGGAAGTCAATGAATTTGCCCCTCAGATGAGAAAACACTTCTGGGTGACGTGTTTGGCATCGAGCACCGTAATATTTCCGACCATTTTTAAAGGCTTGACTAGCTGCTGCTTTACCTCACCTGGTTTAGCTGGTGACCCATGTACAGGAGCCATGGGTTTGAATCCCGCTCATGGCTCTTTGCTGCAACCCCTTCCCCCATTCTCCTCCCCCACGTTCCTGTCCTATGTAATAAAGGCAAAAAGGTTGACTAAAGCTCTGGTCTACAACTGAAGAATGTCTGCTGGATTTTTGTTAGACGTTTTTTTTAAAAAAAGCGTTTGAAAGGTGTGTTTAAAGTTTCCCATGGATCCTGCTCTGTGTTGACTTGTTTTGAGCACCATTTGATGTCCTGTTGTGCAAGCCTTGTACAGTGTTGGTGATTATGTGGCTGCTGATGGAAGTGTTTTGAAGCCTTGTCAAAACGAGACACAAAAAAACCTGCTGGCCCTGATAATTTGGATGCCAGTTTTCTGAGAGTACCTTCGCCACATATATTTTCCACATTAACCCACGCAGTGTTCCCCTGGTGCATCTTCCATCTATTTAGAAGATGCCACCTGTGGCCACCTTACAGTCCTATTTTTAAAACTTGCAATTGTAGAATATAGAACTGACTAGCTTGGAGAGTTTTTATGAAGTAATGCTATTGTTTTCAAAGTTTGCATTTGGACACTGAACAGCTACAGTGAAGATTGTGACTAATAATAATGTCTTAGACAGAAAGCAAGTTAGTTTTTGATCAAAGCCTAAGAGGAAGCTGATTTGACTGACAAAGGTGCAAATTATGTTTCAGAAAGAACTCAAAGGTAGCGTGCTGCAGCTCCAGCTTCCTCATCGTACTTAATGGAGTTCCCCAAAGTTCTACACTAGTTCTTCCTTTATTTTCTGCTCACATAAATGATTCAGGAGATAATGGAAGTGCTCTCTGCTAAGGAGGCAATACTGCTATATATACTTGCAAATATCATCGAATAGAGGCACGAAGCCACACTCTACCTTGCTACTGCTTTTGTTTTTTTTCTGTCAGGGTTGCAGATGTTTCTCAGCCTGTAATGAAATGAGAAAACCTGTAGACACTCGACAACTTTCCGTTCCAGAAAAGCACAAATTTCCAAGTTTAAATCCACACAATGAATGCATAAGCAGCAAGGTTAAACATTTGTAGAAGAAGACGATGTGACGAGGCGACGCGCTGTAAATAACGAGCACCAGACAAAAAAATTAAAAAAACAAACCGTGATGGAAGCGTGGCGTTTATGTTTGTTTCATATAGTAAGCTACACCCCGACAAAACTCAGAGCTCAGTCTGGGTGTAATATTCCCCTGATTCATAAGCAATTCGGAGCTTCACAGTTGAACACTAGAGGGGGAAGTCTACACTTCCTGCTCGGCGCCCTCATTAGGGCTTTAAGATGAGTGTTGGGCAGAAATTTCAATATGCTATTTTTTGATTTTTGGAAGCCAGGCATGATTTTGCATCTACTTGCGGCATTCAGCATGAATGAGAAAACTTGTTATCCTCTTGTAGCATACATAGAAAAAAATATCTGTATTTTAATTGGCTGCTTGCATTCCAGTGCATTTGAAAGACACATGGAGATATTGTAGGATGACATGGTTAGTTTTTTTGCAACATAAGGATTATATTTATCATTGTGTACAGCTCAGAGAGGGATTAGATCTCCCTTTGAGAGCCAGATCAATTGGAAAAAATCTGAGCAGCAGTGCAACAGAAATGCTCTCGAATGGACAAACACAAATGGTACGGTTGTGTAGGTGTATCAGTCAAAGAAAGGTAAAGTTAAAGGCTTTTCTTTGTGGTTTTCTTCATTCCATATCAGCTGTTCAAGAACAAATCAAATGCCAAACCATGAACAGTTGAGCATCAGATTTCTAAATATGAACAACTACGAAGTTCTCCAAGCTTTTTTTTTGCTCAATTATTTTTTATTAACTTTTTTTTTTCTTAAATGCCTGCAAAGCTATTGATTAAAACTAAAATATCAATATAGTTTATTGAACAGACTGGAAAACTGGGTGCATTAGCTTCATATGAGACTGTTTTTTTGTCACATGTCCTTTTATCAACATCTGCTTTTACAGTTTGCTCTTAAATGTCAAAGTAACTGCAGTACCTCCTCTTGCATCTTCCACCATAATTGTGGACTTTAGTGAAACATCCACGTCTGATTTCCACTTATGAGCTCAAAGTAAACTCGCATAAAGGTTAGATGCATCAAAGGCAGCGCATCGATACAGTAAATGCTTTGCTTTTTTGTTTGAAATGTAAGCTTGACGTAAGACAGCATTTACCAAAAAAAATAGAAAATAAAAAAATTCCTGTATGATTAAAGTTAAGGTTATTACTTTTCGGTCCCTTTCATCCCCATTTCAGTTACTTCCAGTTGCTCAGTGGAAGAAAAGTGCTCTCGAAATGAAAATGTCAGTTGATGAAATCCAATGAAAGATGTCTCAGTATACAGTAATGAGTTCTGGTCTGCCACTGAGAGTATCACCTGGTAGGCGCCGGAGCCCTGATGGTAATGGTCTTAAATGTGGACATCAGTAATGCTGATGAAATATCAAGGAAAATCACTCTCTGCCTCTCACTGTTTCATGAATACCACGGCTATCTTGTCTCTCCATAGGATACCGAGATTATCAACACGGCCATTCTGACCGGGCGCACCGTGGCCATTCCCGTCAAAATGGTCTCCATAGAGATGAACGGGGCGGTCACCGACGTCTCGGCCTTCGTGCAGTGCAAGTCCTCGAATGAAGACATTGTTAAGGTACGGTAAACCTCATTTGCTCTGTGTCTGGGAGATGATGCCAATTTAGGAAATGTAATCCCTTTACTCTGCCACAGCACCACCGTCAAAAGATCAGGAAAGCATAAAAACTTCATTTCGGGCTCCATATGTAGTCCTGATTTGATTTTTTTGTGCCTTCTGCCTGAGATAAAATCAATGCATGTTGATAAGACTCTGGGTATAAATCTGCAGAGAAACAGTAAAAGCTCCATTATTTGCTTTTTGAAGCACACCACACCTACTTGCTTGTCGCTCACTGAGCCCACCATCGCTTTCTTGTTCACTTTAGTGTGATGACTGCTGTAAAACGTAACACCAAAACGTCCCGGAATGCAGAACAATCAACGCTCAGGCTCATAAGGAATCCAAGCTGAGAGTGCAATATCAAGTCTCGTTTGTTGATTAAATAAATTAAATTGGGATCACAACAACTTGCAGAGCACATTAGAGGCTGTGATTACGCTGTTATTATTTTCTCCAGTCAATTACAATCATAATAGATTGCACTATAGGCAGATTGCATAATTGTATAGGCAGTAGAGGGAAGTGTCACAGTGTCGCTTTGCGCTGTTGATCATAATGAAATAGATGGTGAAAGTAGAGATGGGACCTTAGAGGAAGTAGATGGCAAATCGGATCTCATTTTAACGATATTGTACTAATAATGGTGACCTTTCCTTAAGCAATCCTCAATAGAAAAGCAACTGGATTTCTCTTGTCGGTTGTTCAAGACATGCCAAGAGGCTTCTTCAGTTCTTTCCTAAAATAGCAATATCTTAAAAATAGGCTACAAAGGCATTAAATAAGGTCAGAAGAAGGGGAAAATGTAAGCATGATGCAAACCTCTCGTTATCAAATATGTGCTCAGACTACAAGGGCTGATCAAAATGTTCTGGGACTGTTTGTGGTGCACAACAGAGCATACTATCAACAGCAAGATCTGTATTTTATGTGTTTTGTGACCACTGGCATTTGCAATTTCTCCATCAAAGCAAACATCACATTCTGTGTCAGTCAGCCGTTAGATGATCCAACCTTTATGTGGAGGATCATCACTGTTAATGAGAGGTGGATATGCAGCTTCCATTAAGAGAAGAAGCAACAGTTTTTATAATAGAAAGGTTCCAAAACCTAACACTTGTTTTTTTTCTTTTAACATTTATGTGGTTGAACAGCAGGAATTCAACCCCCAGAATCAGACGTTCCAGACAGATTTCTCATGTAATTGGTCACGATGTGGCGAATATTTTTATTATTTTTTTGGCCCAAGCCAAAACAATCATCACTCTCCAGCTGGCCGACTTGCTAGATTTGGTTCCATATGATTTGTTCTTGTTATAGCACCTTTCAAACAGGAGCTTTTGCGCCAAAGTGCTTTTAAGTAAAAAAAAAAGTTATAGTTTGTGATTACCCTAACATGTTTAGATTTCACGGTTAGGACCCTATAGGGTAATTTATGGTGCAATTCTACTGAAATGATTTACATATAAGGGAATAAAACATGATAAAAATGATATAAACATGATTTCACATGACTATAGTAAGGCTGAGAGTGTACAGTGTGATTAGGTATGGAGAATAACACAACTTATGTGATAATGTAACGAAGACTTTACGGTACAGAATTAAACTACCTGATATAAACATTAGGGTTAAGACACTACATCATTATTAATTATGGAGATTAGCCTAATTAATTTGCAGCTAAAGTTTTGGACCAATAAAATGGCAAAGGAGATTTGGCACACATTGTAGGGAATTACAGAAACACAGGGTACTGTACAAAGTCATTACTTCAGCAGGTTGGAGTAGAAATTTATATCGATTTTTGCATTTTATAGAGACAGTCTCTGAACTTTCTGATTGCACCCCAGACCTGTTGCTGACCCGAAACATACTTCATAAAGGAATCTAGCCAAATCAATTTATCTTTTCAAGTTTTCTTAATGTAAACTTGTACAAATTTAGCTAAATTGCAGTTAATTGAGTTTGAAATGTTTAATTTTTAAGTTCCGACCACTTTTGAACTTAAAAACATGAGTTCTTATGATCTTATGATCTGAAGCTGAGAATTCACTCAACTCATTAAATTAAGTTTAGGAGAAACAAAACCAGCATATAAAGAGACTTTATAGGATGCATTGTTGAAAAGTTAAAACTCACCAGAGATTCTTTTTTCTTTTTGTAGTGTGACCAAACAGATATGACTGAAACTTGCTGTGTGTCTTACATACATATTAAATTATGTCATGGCTGTTTCTTTTCGTAAAAAGAATTCCAAAGGTTAGTTCTGAATTCAGCCCCTACAAATTGTCTTTGTGCTGACTCAAATGTCAGAAAATGGATTCAACAGCTGTGGTTGTGAGTTCTCAATGTTAAACTCTACTGAAGTGGATTCAACTTAAGTTAATTTAGCTCAGCTAGTTTTACACTTTCACCACTCATAAGATGACTTTTGACTAATAAATAAACCAAAATACAGTTAACTTTTATTTTTAAGGCAGCAGGGGAACTGGTGTTTTTATAAGTTGAATGGACTTAAAATGATTTCCAGTGTAATAAAGCGACCTGAAAGTGTGCAACAACACAGCAGCCTCAGGTTATGAGGGACATGCTCTTTTGTGTGGATAAAGAGAAAGTAATCAGCCCCAAAATAGAGGATGTATTTCATTACATGCACATAAAGAAATTCTTAACAAACAAAACAAAAAAGGTAAATTACAATTGCAAGGTAAAAAAAAAACAACAACAAAAAAACACTCTCATCTCAATAAACCATTCATCTTTGTTCTTCCCACGCAAGACTTTCTGAAAGGCGTGTCGCACGCTTCCAAACAAATGCTTTGTCGTAACGTTTCTACCGCATTCGCTGGATGTTGGACGCAGCTGCTGGTTGCACAAAGGGTGACAATGGCGACATGATGAAAGGCGATGCTGATTGAACATTATTCCTGCCACCTCACACCCACTTTATCAGGAATTTGATGCCGCTTTGAACGAGCCAACAGCCAAGTATTTTTTTGAACAAACACCTCCAGCCGGTGGCAACATGTCTGAAAGTGTCTCGCCCTGCCTGTTACATCACCTACAACCGAACTCTCTGGATAGATTTAACCTGGGAGTCTGACAACATGCCTCTTCAACCAGCGTCCATTTCATCACATTTCCGCTGCTCTTTATTATTCAGAGGTTGTTTGGCTAATGGAACACCTGCACACGAGCACGTTGACAGGAACAGCCGTCGGTGGGCAGGAGGTCGCTGCGTTATCAGCGTGTCGAGCTTATTATTTTCTGACTGAAATCTTTAAAATTTGACCACATTCATTTCCTCTGTGTCAGGTATACTGAAACCATTCCCCTCCAGAAAGCCTTTTTTTTGGGTTCATTGAATAGTAAAACTCATCATTTGAAGCCAGACTAATGAAATCCTCTCAGCTCCTGAAGGTCAAGTGAGGCAGATTTGATTGCAGATTTTACACACTGAGGCCATGAAGCCACGAAGCCGAGTCAGACGGCGGATTTTATCATATCAGGGCAAGTCTGGCTGGTATCTGTTCCCTCTGAGAGACCTGTATCTGTCCAATATATTTTCACTCTGATACACTGGACCAACCCTAATGTCCATGTTATCTTGTACACAAATTAGCTCCAATTAATAACTCGGATACTTGAGGGAGAACAAATTGAATTATGAATTAAACTCACAGCAGAGAGTTCAGATCAATGAGTTTCCAGTAGAGGCTTGTTTGTTGAAGGTAGGTGTATTGTATTGTACTGTCAATAGTCAGGAACAGGTGTTGCACTGGGATGGCTGGCCTCAGCACGTCATTTATCATTTTTCATTATCCATTAAAGACAAGGCGCTGGGCCATGTGATATCGAGTGGGTCTGCTTCACTGGTCCTGCCATTGAACATTCGAGTGCTAATTTAAAATGAGCCCTTCAAGCTCAGAAAATACACGAGTCATGGCAGTCCATTAAAAAAAAAAAAAAGACCCCCAGAACGCAGAAATAAAAAAAATCAGGAATTCAAGTGAGGCTGACAAAAGGTCTAACAGTGCAGAGCTTTGTTGTTGTTGTTTTTAATCCCCCATGCATTGCTCTCATGTCAGAAGTAATGCCGATCTATTTTAATCAGATGTTCTGCTTTTGACTTGCTTTCTTTTTTCTTTTTGAGAACGCTGCAGATGGATGCAAAGTACATACGGCACAAAGCTCTCCTTGTCACATCTCGTGCTTTAAGCCAAAATTATTTTAACGGCTTTTTCTCTGAATCAAACTTTATTTTCAGCCCAGCGCTCTCATTTGGATACTTGCCAACCCACAGGCTGTTGTATTGTTTTTATTTTTTATTTTTTTTCCACAACTTTGAGGGTAAAAATAGGTGAGAGGCTGTCTTTTTTTTTTTTTTTTTCTTCGTCGACACTTTTCTTTTATTTCTTTAGTTCTTTTTTCTTTGGAAATAACTAAGCTGCAGTGTGCATCAGAAGCCTATAGCAGATAAGCCGAGCCTGTGTGTGTGCACAGTTGCACCTGTGTGTGTGCAAGCGCAGGAATAATTATGAAGGCACCCTCGCTGTACAAGGTGGGAAAGAACAGGAAAAAAAAAAAAGGACGAGAGGGTGTTTTGGGGGAACTTGCTGGCCAGTGCAGACAACAGAGGCCGACCCCCACCCACTGATCATCCTCTCCCGTGGCGCCGTGACTCATGTAACCCCAGTGAAGCCGGAGATAAGGCCTTGTGTCTGCACATCGCATCTCATGCCCGTGGTCATCTTGCACTCATACTGTACCTCTTTCCGCCATGCCTTACTCCCATATTAGTGTGACACATTTACCTTTAGTGCAAGTCCAAATTTAGCATCAAGGAGACGAAGCGAATAACATCAGAGGCTGCTGCTTTTTTTTTTTTCCTGTGTCCTTAAACATTCCTTGAGCTCAGGTTGGAATTAGTTTTAATCACATTTTGGTGCAGCCAT